AAGGATGTGCAGCAAATGCTCTATCTTATCTGGTACCAGTTCTGCTTGGAAATATGCAATGTAGTCAAAATAATAAAATAACAGACCCTCATTAATTTTCACGACTTCTTGACTGCCTCACTTTCAAAATCGAGTTCATCCTCTTCGTAAATCTCCTCAAAGTTCTGCTGTACATTTATCTGCTAGTCATTGTCACCACGCTTGTTTCATAACTATCTTGCTCCTTACCATTCAGTTGTGTACTGTATTCTTGAGTCATAAAACATTTTTCTGATGACGGCTGCTGTGCTGGAAGCCCAAAAGTTGAGTAAAATTAACAAATATTTTATGTCACGCCCAAAGCGATTTGTATTGAAAGAAAGTGACGAGATTTAGGGTAGTCAATTGTTCCAGCGATATCGTCAATGGGCTTTCAAGCGTAGCTACGAATACGTCTGCAGATAGAAATCATGAATGATGTATATGACGGCAAAATCTTAGACAAATGGTTTGTATAAAACATATTGAACTCAATATTGAAATACTGTTCCGCTGCAAGGATGAGAGGCTGCTCCTACTTCGTCACACGTGTACAACAGGTGCGTTATCGTTACTACCTCAGGCGGTTGCGTCGCAGACAGTGCCGTGAGCACTTCACATTATAGTGCGTTCGGCATATGTGATATGCCGGTGCGATAGCAATTCGTCTATCGCTATAAAATATTATCAGTTATCAGTTCTGCTGTTAATACGGAGGGTTGTGTTCATTACTGATGTTAGTCAAACGCTACGATCCTCATCTTCTTCGTCATCTTCGAGTGTGATTGCCAAATGTACGCCTCACGTGCAGTGTGAAGCAGAACAGGATGGTATTGGATGAAAGGCAGTCAAAATATGGATCTGTACGTCGACACTCTGGCAAGATCTTGTTTTCAGTACTCGGATTTGTGTACTTTCTTGTGATTGTACTCAGGACGATTCCAGTACCGTGGATGCTACAGGCAACGGAAGTCGAAAACGTCACATCCGTAGCTATTTTGGCTTGGACGTCGTTTTCAGTGGTAGATATCGAAAGAGAGTTTCGGTCGCCGCTCACACCATGCCCAAATAGGCAGTGCTTGGTGACCACCGACAGAACCATGCTGGAGCGCAGTGATGCGATTTTCTTCCACGAACGCAACCTCAACCCTCACGACCTCCCAAAGCGTCGAAGACCTGATCAGTACTTCGTGATCGCCAACTGGGAGGCTCCAAACCGGCTGTTGAACACGACTTCGGCAATCGAAAAGAACTTCTTCAACCTTACCATGACGTATCGTCACGATTCAGACATTTTCGTACCATATCTGACGTTGATTAGCAGCGTGAGCCAAAGGCCACTGAATGAACAACAGCTGCTGAAATTGGCAAGACGAAAAAAGCAGTACATCGCGTGGTTCGTCAGCAACTGCAAAACTCCAAGCAAACGAGAACTGTACGTAAGGGAGCTGCAGGAACACATCCCAGTCGATATTTATGGTCGGTGCGGCAATTTAAAGTGTCCTCATGACCAAAAGGCTTGCAATCGCATGCTGCGCAACGATTACAAGTTTTACCTCTCTTTTGAAAATTCTATCTGCCCCGAGTACGTGACCGAGAAGACGTTCATGGCACTCAGCAACGACGTCGTCCCGATTGTGCTCAGTCGAGCCATCAGTCAGCGCGTGATTCCGAACGACAGCTTCATTGCGGTGGACGATTTCGCTAGCCCGAAGCTACTGGCTGATTTCCTGTACTACCTCAGCGACCACACCACTGAGTACGTGAAGTACTTCAATTACAAGAGAAAATATATCGTCAAAAAGCCGTCGCTCCTCAGAATGGGTATGCAGAAATTATGCGAACTTATATCGTGCTCTGGTAAGCCGTATAATCATTATGTCCACAACTTTCATACTTGGTTTACGCAAGACAGCAATTGCAGCTCTGTCGTTTTACCAGGCGAGAAGGAGGCGGATTAAGTAGGCGCTATTAATGTTTTCAAATTATTCAAGCAGCTCTATGTGGCGGCAAAACTAAACGAGAAAGGTTAAGGTATTTCAAGAAATAAAGATACGTGCCAAATGCTGTAGCAGTGAAGAATTCGACCTTGTTTCTCGGGCATTCGATACAGTGCTATGATGTACGTTTTATGAAGCTAAAATATCGGTCTTTACTTTTAACTATGAACAAAGTTGCCATAAGAGATGAACTGCTCTGCCATAATGCACTTTC